CACAAAGCTAAACTGTTCTGAGAAGAGGAAACAGCTTTTCAACAGATTCATTAAAAGGCACGTCTCATAGTCATGCCTCTAGTCAGAGATGCTTTGCACCTTCCAGCCCTTTTTTTCTTTTGGTGCTTACTGCTTTAACAGATGGGTTGAAATTTCCCCCCAAAATCCTAGCACAGTTTTGACCTGGAAGTAGTTGATATTTTCCTTTAAGTATTATGTTGCAGAGAGAAAACCCTGTTTTCCCAGAACTTTCCAATGAATTTTGAGTCGTCTGCTAGGTCAAAAAATTGTTTCATAGTTAGAAGGGTAAGTTCTCACACCTTTGTGTTTTGAAGAATCTGAAACTTCATTAATTGTCCTTTTTTCTAGGGAATTTTATTTTGACATCTGAGGAAAATCAGGCCACAGCATAGCCTAATTCTGAACTTCTGAAAAATGTCATTTTTACTGAAATTTGAAGTTTGAAAAGCAAGGCTCAACTCACTATCAAAATTGAGCTTTCAGACAAAAAAAAAGATTAATGGATTAGACTGTTCCTTCTCTGCCATTTCCATCTGCTAGAAAAGCATCTAAAAATGAAAACATAAGGCAGCTTGCTATGTCCTCCACACTCCTCTGTTGCTCCCTAAGTAGGATGAAAAAGAAATGATCCTGCAGTAAAGGGACAGGCTATGAGAAAAAACACTGGATTTGAAAGACCGAAGGCAGAAAGAGACAGGTTGTGACCAAGTGAAACAGCAGAAAGGACTGAGTGACCAGAACAAAAGAGGTTCTGCAATCTCCTCTGCTCCAGTTCCAGGAAGACAGAAAATGTTGCTTTTTTCCCCACTGCTGTCATACTTCAATTCCTCACTCTGGACTACTCTAGAAAAACACGTTTAAATCCTGATTCTCTTTTCATACAGTAGAGATGGCATCTAGTCAAAACGATTCTTTAATTTCCCAAAGGGACTTTTTAGATTTTTTTTTTTTGCTATAACTCAGTTGAAAGAAATGATAGATTAGAAACTATCATGCTAAAGCACACACTCAGAACTTATTCCAGTAATTTAAAAATTACCTCTAAATTTTATTTCAAATATAATCTCCCAAAATATTCCAAATTACAAACAATGTGAAAAATTTTGTTTCACTAAATGAAGGAAAAGGGAGGAATAACAACAATCCAGACATACTCAATATATGTTTCATTTCAGAGCACTTCATGTCAAATGCAGAAAAATAGAAACACCTGTGATGTTTTCCATCTTTGGAAGACATTTCTGACACTTCCATCTTTTTTAAAGATAAAGTCCATTTTAACTTGGGTTTTCCTTTACTAACTGAGTTTGTTTCAGGGACAGCTCAGGGCTCAACATAGCATGGCCCTTTTCAAACCTCAGTCACTGATTTAATCCTCGCCTACACCATTAAGGACAAAGAGTAGTTAATGCCCAATTGTTATTAACATTAAGAATTACTGAGAAATCACCTCAAATTTGTGACCTGCAGAACAAGTGCTGGTGTTCCCAGCTGACAATCCCAAATACTGTAATGGCTCTGTTACAGCCATGTTTTGATCTCCATGTGGAAGATGAAAGAAGTAGTTTAGGCTTCCTGGTCAAGCCATACAGCTACACGGGTCTAGAGTATCATCCTCTGCCACGCAGCTTGATCTCAGGGAGCAACACACACAGAGAAACCTCCCAGGACACTTCTCAGCACATTAAAACATAGCTCTGCATTTTCAAAGAGAAGTGCCAGGGACTAGAGGAAGGTTGCTGACACAGCAAGGATCAGCTAGCTGGTTACAAAGTACAGCTGTTTGTAGCATGCACTGTTTAACCAGTATAAAGGGGTTTGGTGTTTTCCCAGAACTGCTAGTGATGAAGATCTGACACAGAAATAGGCTCAAGACATTGCTGTATTTTCAGACAAGTGAGGACACTATCTAGGAGACACACATGCAAAGTTCCTGAGAGACAGTTTTCCACTGACTGTACCTGTAAGTTCAAAAGTAATTTCTAAGAAACTAATGTCAGCCTTCTGGGCTTCAATTATCTGGCTTCCCAGTCCTGGAGAAGGTTCAATGAAGTGACAGCAGAGCTGTAAGGTTTTCTTTAACATCAGAAACCCTCTGGGAAAGAGTAGTTGTTCCCTACTCTTCCCTGTCCACCACCCCCAATTTCCCAGGTACATAATCCATCTTCAGAGGTTCTCAGTGGTACCAACAACTCTGTTCAAATCATGAATACATGATTTAAAGTTGTCAAAACCCTGAAGGTGCCCATCACAATACAGCATTCTGCTAAAAAAATAACCCTAATGAGTAAAGTCAGGTGATCTGGGAAAAAATAAATCAGTTGCTGTAATGCCCTGAAGGGAAATTTGTTTAAGCAATAGAAAAGGATGATGCAACATGAGTAAATTCATGTACACACGCTGTTCAGTTGCTCCCTGCTAATCCTGCCATGGATAAATATATCCTTTACGTAAACCAGAAAAATATTTTCAAAGTCACACAAAAATATCTAAAAATAAATTTTATTGTCAAAAACACTGAAGGTGAATATTCACTGTATTCATTCCAGACTAATTTCAGATACATTAAAAGGTCACAGCATATCACAGCTAGATGATAAGCTAAATCCGGATAAAAGGATACAAAAGTGCTATGACTTTTTTGGTATAGAACTATTCTGGGTAGTCAAAGAGAAGAGTTGCAGAAGGACCTGACAATAGTTGCATATGAAATTAAATACCAGTAAATGCAAGGCGATGAACGTTGGGGAAGGAAAAAGCACCAGCAGCTACACATACACTGCCACAGCTTCTAAGATTAGCTATTATCACTCTGGTAAGAGATCTTGAAATCTCTTGGGGAATTCAGGATGTCAGTCAACTCACAAACTAGTTAAAGCAGAACCAGAAAAGGCACAGAAAAAAGGAACAAGATAATCAAGGAAAGGCTTTTGTGCAAAGAGACACCAAGTAGATGAAGACGCGTTGGGATGGGAGGAGAACAGGCACAGTTAAGGCCGGCTATCAGAAAGCTCTGTAAAATCACAGGCCACGGAGAGCATCACTGAGGAACGATTCATCCACTACTGGCCGGACATAGGAAACAGTGCATCCACTGAAGGCATCAGGTGGAGAACCCAACACAAGCAAAAAGGAAGTGGTCCTGGCTGCCACCCTCAAGAATTTACACATTGTCATGGGAAACTGTAGAAGTCTAAGCAGGTTAAGAATGGTATTAGACAAGTTCACGAAGGCCAGGTCCATCAGTAGCTACCGAAAGTGATCCAGATGTGGAACCTGCTCAGAACATGTTACAACCACTGCGTGTTTAACATGCAGAGGGATGGTATACGGGCTGCCTTCCCATGCCTTTGCTGCAACTGCCCACTGTTAGAGCCAGGGTACTTTATCTTAAACACATCTTTAAGAACTGCTACCCTGTATCCAACTAAAGCCCTTACAGTCCAGAGGACACATGGCTCAATTTGGCAGGCCATTATAAGAATTACAATGACTGGAAAATTCACCAAAGCTCCAGTTAAAACCAAGACACTCAGTTCTCATTTCGGAGGTATTACAGCCAGCTCTCAGCCTTCACAGACATGCCGCTGCATCAGTTTCTATTTGGGACATACTTCAAATGTTTTTACAGGGTCAGCCATAACAACTAGAGGTTATTGAAAGGGGAAAAAAAAAAAGAATCAAATGGAGAGGCTTGTCCCTGTCTAACCCAGTGATTAAGACTCTCTGGAAGAAAACAACAAACCTACACCCAACAATAAACAATTTCTATTTTTTTTCTCTTAGAATTTTAGTACTACAAGAACTGTAACATTCAAGTTGAATGCAAGGAAGGTTATGTCATCTTTATGCTCATGCTCAAAAATAGCTTTTGAACATATACATTTAGAAGCAGGAAGTTAATTTAACTTAAGATAACTTCTTCTCTCTTTTAAAGGAAGTATTTTTGGATATACTCTTTAGTAAAATTCTAAATACATTCAACTTGCAATTAGCCCAGAGATCTGAGAGTGTCCTAAGGTGACCTGAATAAAGCACAATAGATATTATGAAATCTTACATAAATTAGGGTGTAAGGCTGTAAGTTCACCTTTGAAAAAACTTGAAGGCAGATTTCTATAAAAAGCAGGGACAGATTTAAACATGGCTGTGGAATGAAGCTCCAGTGAGCAGCCTATATTCTGCATCACACAACACTGACACAGCAGTGATGCTGGAGAAGGTCACTCCCAGTTAATCTGCCACCCAGGGGGATCCACACAAGGATATCTGAAAGCTTACTGTAAAGTCTAAATCAGCAAAAGGTAATTAAGACAAAATAATGTAATTTTGGGATAAAATATGATCAACTCATTTGGTATAGGAAGAGCGTTAGAATATTTCTGGAGATTTCAGACTGGCAATTAACTGCAAACCAAAAGCAAAGTGCAATTTATCTCTTCGTTAGCTCAAGTCTCGAGACAAGAACTGCTGAGGAGAAAAGTTTTAAGAGTATCCCATCCCAAGATGTCAATGAGATTTGCTACTATTTCCAGAGTGTTGCTCTGCTCAACTATTAAGAGGATGCTTTGAGTGAGTTAAAAAGCTGACATCTCTTTGTCAGAAAGTTAAATACAACATATAACAATCTCTCAGGACACCTGTTATTAAATACCATGATGATTTTTAATTTGTTGTCATTATTTAAAAAAAAAAAAAAAAAAAATTAACCTAGCCATCAAACATATTTCTCACAACTATATTCAGCCACAGGACAATAGTCAAAAACTGCAATGTGCTAAGATATGGAATGGTCACTGAACTTTTCAAAAGAAAACCATGCTATGTTTAGATAATAAGAGTTACCCACCTGTGTGAAACACACATAAAAAAGACATTGCTACTGATTTCCCATATCCTGGAACATGATGTTACTGATTTGTGAATACTTGGTTTTTAACATTTCATTTCAACCTAAGAGTAGAAGGTTTATTTCCTACCTGTAATGTACATGCGTAACTGTTGGTTGTCGGTAGCCAAGAATCCAAGTTTGGATGTCTATAGGTTCACCTTTGGGATACGCAATGGTTGTATCTATCACCCACTGGAGGCCTTTTGATTTACTCTCTAGGAACAAAAAGAAATGTGAGATTAAAAGTAATCAGAAAGTGCATGTCACTCATTTAATAGTTATTCCATTTTTATATTATGGAGATGAGGTATGGGGCACAAATAAAGTAAGACAGCCAAAAATCAAATCCAGCTTTCATTACAGAGCACAGAAATACTCTTACAAACTTCACCTAGACCAAGATTTTATTTTCCGTTATTTCTGCTGTTCTTAATATTGTAGTACACAGAATAGAACACATTCACTCACTGGGTATGAGTATAGTCACACAACATGCTGGTCCAAAAGTCAAGTGCCTTCCCCTATTCACCAAAGGAAAAACTTCAAAAATAAAAATCCAAATTTCTTGGTCTGCACTTCAAGCACATTTACAACTAGGCCTTTATAAGAGCTCACAGTTGTAGCTCACTGATGAAGCAACAGCCATGCGGATCCCTCAAAGATTTGCAGGATAAAGAGGAAATATACCATTTTGTGTATTAAAGAAAGCAACAAGTAGAACATGGTCAGTTTTTACAATGGAGAGGAGATTGCATCCACATGGTTCCAGAAAGACTAATACCAGTACATATTCATACACTGCTCAGAATATTCAGAAACTGGAAAAAGGATCAAAGGAGGTGAAAATATTTACTATGAAGATTATTCAGGAGTCAAATTTAAATCTGAACACAGGTTACTATCAGCAATAGCCAAGGTCAGATATCTACCTAGCTGTGACCTCTCTCTGGCATGTCTTCAATTCACAGGGTTGCAAAGAGGGAGAGCAGCAGATCTGGAAAGCAAACTAGGAAGGAGGGGCACACTGCCAAGAAGGCACTTCGAGTTTACCTTGTCAATTTTATATCTGTTCTGTGGAAACTGGAGCTGCCTTGTATCTGAGGTCATGTTATGTTTGGGCTAGTATAGTAATATTCTTAATTAATGCTTAATATACTAGTATAGTAATATACTTACATCATACCCAGCAGTGTCTTAAAAGCATTAAAAAAGCTGACTATTAAAAACAGCCACTTGTTGGCAGAAGCATTTAGGAGGTGTTAGGTCTTAGTACAAAGTACAAGACTTCAAGCCTGCAGCTGAGACAGCTATGAAAGAAATATGATAGAGGTTGATAAAAACACTGTTGGCATGAAGAACATCCACAAGGACAGTTCACCAACTTGCTCAGTACAAGAATAGATATATTCAAAATGAAGCTAACAGGAGAAGTTTTGAAAGCACAGAGAAATGATTCTTCATGCAGAGGGGAATAAAACTGTGGGGAACCCCTTGCCAAAGGATGTCAAAGATGCCAAGAGTTAGGCTCAAGAGGAAATTGGACAAGTACATAGAAATCCATTGGAGGGTTAGCTAAACAGGCAGAAACCCCACCCGGCCTGGGAAGCCTACCACACTGGAAACAGTTAGAAGCTAGAAGAGTATATGGGAGAAATACGTTTGCTGTTTTCATGCTCTTCCCTCTGATATCCACTTGGGAATCACGGACAAGATGTTGGGTTAGACAAATGCTTGGTCTTGCCCAGAATTGTCACTCAAATTTTACAGAATAGCATGAAGAAATGAAGAAATCTGCAACACACAGTCTGAGGTGCTCTAAAAGCCACAGTTACTAACACCAACTAGTACATACATGCAATGACTGACTTGCGAGTTTCTACCTGCATTTCATTTATTTTAATTTGCATTTTATTTAATTTGCATCTAATTTAATGAAGCATGCGAAGACAATTACAGCAACACTATCACATATATCTATGAATTACTTTAACAAGCAGCTAGTGTCTTCACGGTGTCTACTCAATAATGGAATTGTACTGCTTTGTTACAAATGCACATAGACTACCTGACAATAAGGCTAGGCAGTATTTCCTAATATTTAGGTTATGAGTTATTAATAGCATGCAACGTGCTACTCCAAAATTTGACCAAGGGCAAGCTACATGGGTCAAGCTGAAACATTCAGTGTCAACTTCTGGAAATACAGTATTTTAAAACCCTGAGAGACACATGAAATGAGAACATGAGGTCCCATTAGGGGCCCAAGCTTGCCAGCATCATGGCAGAGTGCTTGTCAAGTCCCTCTTAAGAAAAGCACTAAATATGGAGTCCCGCATTTTAAAAGTAGCAATGTATTAGAGAAAAGCCAATATGAAATTAATAGTAAATCCACATAAGTATTCATTTAGAAATGGATTTCAGAAAAAAGCCATTCAATTTGTTACTTTCCCAGATGTAAAGTAAGAATGGACAAAGACAAGTAAATTGTCTGAGTAAGCAACAAAGATCATTAACTGTAATTAAAAACTGCCAGATGAATATGGCACATGATCTTATTATTTACAGTAAAATGTTTTTAAATAATTTATTAAATATTTAGCTAGTATTTCAAACTGTTCTTTCAGTGGATAATGGTTCAAACTTAATTACAGGAAGACTCCTGCAGCCCTCTTGTTGATTTCCTACCTTCTGCTTTTGTGGAGCAGAGCTGCTGCATGGATTCCTCAGACCAGCTCCAAACTTACCTCCAGCCCCTTCCAGGGCAGGGTGGGAATTAAAACCTGCCTCTGACAGCCCACCAGGAACCCCCAGGTTAGAGACTGGGGGAAGAAAAAAAATAATTCTGAAGGTAATGTCAGCCTCCACAGACCCTTCTTTAGAGCAAGCAGGTGTTAGTGCAGCTACCTCCACGTGCAATTACCAAGGCGTGCTATCAAATCTCAGTCACAGGCATATTTCTGCATGCTCTGGTTTAAAATAAGTCTTACATAATCATCCAAGATCTCATACTACCAAAAAAACCCAAGTCACCAAGGATTTCAGAAAATTAACTTTTAAATAAATTCTTGTCCTTTTTGGGGAGTTATACTGTATTAAGCCCTGCTCATGAGCACATTTATTTTACAGCCACAAAGCTCTAATAGAACCAGAAACTGAAAAAGAAACACAATTGCACACAACACAAAGGGGTAGGACCTCAGTATCTCCAAGGATGCTGCCTTCAGGCCTAAGCAGACCTTTGAACAAGAACTAAACCCTATTACTTTTTAAATGGAGCACAGTAACAGGAACTCAGAACAGAAAGATTGCTGCATTACTCAGCTTTGGCATCTGTAGCTGAAAAAAAGGGAGTTGCATATACCTGTTCAAGAACTCCTCTTGCCAAGTTTAGCTTGGCCAACACAGCCATAGATGTTTCTGACAGCCAAACCCTTATGAATTTTCTACCTACCACTAAAAGACACCGTCATCCTTCCTTTCTAGTACCTACTGAAAGATTGAGCAGCCTGGCTGCCAAAAACTTCAGCAGAAGAAGCTGCTGCAGAGACCAAATTTAGGCTGATCTCCCTGAGGACTAGGTTTTCTTCTGTGGTGTCAGTCTGCTTGCCTCTTTCAGTGTAGGTGGAGGATTTTGATTTCTCAAACTGCCTCAAAATGTTAGCAGTCTGTTTTTTTTAAAAATAGTACATAGATGTTCAAAACAGGCCTGCAGGCATCTGTCCTACACAGTTGCATCCAAAGCATGTAGTAATAATATACCTTAGTATGAATGGTACATACTTGCCTTATGAGTGCTAAGTAAAGACTGAACAATCACATTTAGTAGCTTTCTGGCCTGGACAAAAAAATCAAAATAAAATGTAAAGAGTCTCCTAACTTCTTGTTTTGGATTTTTTTTAAGTCACCATCCGAGGCAAATCTTCATAACTATTTTTTGCCTTATTTTTGTTCTAGCTGTGGATTCAGTGATAGTAAGATGCTTCATAATTAGTTATGAAGCAACTTACCATCAGCATCTTCAAGACACCCACTGCTTTGTCATCCTCTACAATCCTCTCACAGCAGATACTTGACTGTCTACAATTACAAATGTAGTGGGGTTCAGAGCTTCTCTTCGTCCCTCAATATTCTCCTTGGGGTTAACTCTCAACCAATGCTTAAAGCTGGTATGTGCAGGACTCTTCGAACCTGCCAGCAGACTGTCAGTGTTTATTGCTGAGAAAAAGAGCAAGTTTTAAAGACAGGTTGCAGCAGGAAAACTCACTCCAGCTGAGCTCTGGATGGTGCGATACTGCTGGATTGCATCCGGAGTGGAAAAGAATGCATCAGTCAGGCATGAACTTGAGGACTGCAGCTTCCACTTGAAAAAGAAAATATTTACTACAATTCACTAGTATTCAGGTGTGGTTTCCTGAACACTTATGCCACTCTAAACTCAGCGAAAAGAGGCTGTTGTCTCCCCCTGCATAGCAATGAGTTCTTGTAACTTGTCACTTGATCACACGAGGACAAGTAGAGGACAACAGGACCACTGACCTTAAAATTAACTCTTTTCCCAAAGATTAACTCTCAGACTAAACATCTTACTCATTATCCCAAGATCTCTCTGTGACAAATCACCTGGAACAAAACAAGCAGCCCCTTTTCCAGGATTAAAAAAAAAAAAAGTTATTCAAGTCACATTCCTCATATAACAGTGAATCAAAAAGTTTGATAAAAAAAAAAAAATCAATTACGTAGTCCAGTGTCCAACTCTGCAGAAGAGAAAATTGAATTTCTCTGAGAAAAAGCATCAGAACTGAATGTACTGTGCTGCATTTGAAAACAGTGAGATAAGATTCCAATAGGGCTCTAACCAAGTTCACAGCAACCTCTTATCAGACCAAAAATTGCTGCACAGTAAAATAAAGCAGAATTAAAAGAAACATACTAGAGTAAGGTTAATCAAAAACAAGCTCTAGAATGCGTATCTTCAGTGAACAATTGCTCCAAACTCCTTTGAACTGCCAGATGTTTAGCACTTTGAACTAGCTCTAAAAACTCACAAGATGATCAATTCTTATTAACTGAAGAAACACTGTACTTGCAGTTATGTCAGAGACTAAGTGTTATCTTAAAAAGGTGAACAAACAGAAATTCAAAACCATAAAACAACTCCAGCCACACACACATCAGTCCCTACAGGGTTATGGTGACAATGGCTATGCATCAAGTATTTTTATGCTGCCCATATTTCTATTCTGCACTAAAACATTCTCCTGGAGTGCAGGCTCTGGAAACAGCATTCTGTTTGGGGCGGCACAGCACATCTTCCCAGAGGAATACTTTCATCAGAAACCAGAGTTAATTTACACCATGTTTTCAGGGACAGACACTACTTAACTACATTGCCTGTACTTTCTAGCTTCAAAGGCACTGAAGCCATCAAGTGAGAGTACTACCTTTCCCATATGTTTTTTCATCCTTCCATTTATTTAGGAATAAAATTGTACAATTTCATTAAACAAGTGTTTCAAAAGGCATCACAAGCAACAACTGTTTTAGTAATTTAATTCAGCATTTACTAGCAATAAGTTAAATTTTACACCAATGAACTTGAGACTTAAGTATGAAAAAAGGCTTGAAAAACTGTTACGAGGAAGAAATTAAGAAAATAGAGGCTGCTTGCCTTGGAAAAGCAACAGATAAAGAACTGATCAGTTTAAGTGCAAGAATAATCAAATAGTATTGATCATCTAGCCCAGGAGCATTTGTTCTTCCTGTCACTTCACAGAGGAAGAATCACGTAATAAACTGTGGGAAACTCATAACTAGTACAAAAATAAACTGAAAAGGGGATTAGATATTAAGGATACTAATACCATAATTAAGGCTAATGGAATTCTGGAGGGGCTACTGAACCTCACGCTCTACAACATAAACCCACCTCTACCAAAGGGATGACAGAAATCAGATTAGAGACTTTACAAAGAAGGACAGATCATGTAGCATTTAGCTGTTGCACAATTCTTGAGCTACTATTTGAAGGCTCTAATTCCAGTGACATTTGATGTACAAAAGCAAGCTAGTGGGCTGGGGAGCAGTGGGGTGACATGATGAAACCACTGTATGCAACTTGTTTTGTACCAAATTAGGGTGCAGCATAGCAATATATTAAGAATAAACCATCTTTTATTGCAGTTGCTTTTGTCATCTTCTTTCACTCAGTATTATACACCATTCCAGTTGAGAAAGTAGAACAGTGTAAAATCTACAATGGTGTAAGAGCTACAAGGATAATTTAAAATGAATTTAGTACAAATCAAATGACAGCACTTGAGAACACTGCAACTGTGTATCATGACTCATTCTAACATAACTACTCAGGAAACTCAACAGGAAGGGGACATAATTTTTGCTGGAGGAGTTACTCCTCATTTATACTCCAATTTATTCAAAATCGGGTGGGGGAAGGACGTGAACTCCCATCATTATCAGTAAAGGCTGGTGGTAACAAAAATATTGAGAGAACGAAAAATAATGGAGAAGAAATCTTCTAGTAAGCTGAATAATATGGTAACCCAGGACACCAGGAACATTGTTAAATAAGACTACAGAGCACAAGAGAAGTGGTGCAGAGAGAAATTTGTTTGGGTGAACCATGAAATTCAAATGCGATGCTACTGACACATAAGCCACTTCACAATCAAAGGAGCACAGTCAGAATGTACAAAAAGTATATATGCGATCTCTATGCAAGACACTGGCAAAATCCTACACTGTATATACTACATCTTGTTCTAGCCCACAACTCAATGATGGTAACCCAAAGAGGATACAGTTAAGTTTTGATTTCACTAAGCCAGGTTTTTTCATGTGGTTAAAAAAGGGAAAGATAAAAGAGATAAAAAGTAAAGATGATCACCTACTTGTAGGTTTCCAACTTTATATTGTAATCTTATCAATTTATACAATTATATTTCATTTAACTAAACATTCTTCAAAAATTTCCTAAGTATCAAAAGTACAGTAGAAGCACTTGGAAGGCAGAAGATTAGAGGAAGAGTCTTTTATAGATCAAGAATTAACCTTCTGTACATCTCTAAAAGGGAAGTTTTACCATGCTAGAAACATTTTTGTGAGCTTAAGAGAGGACTTAAAATATCTCATCTTCATATGTATCAACTATCACTTTTTCTTAGCACATAAAATTTACTTTCACTTGTCTTTTTCAATCCTTTTATTATGTTTTCATGTCCTAAACCCACAGATTTATTTCTTATTTTTGCCCCCTTATCTTTCCTTCTGACTTTTGAGTAGGATGGACAGATATGATTCCATTGTATTTCTGAGACAATTCCTTTATTTTAGTATTCAGTTAGGTCAACTACCATCAAATGCTCATTTCTCCAGACTCTGAATCATGCCACTTAATAAAAACCCAAACAAACAAAAACCAAAAAGCCAGGTTTGATGTTCAGCTTAATCTAAGAATATGAAAATATAAAATTGGTATTTGATGAGTGCTTTTGGTCCTTTTCCAGAACTAGAAGGCCTGTAATTCACATTTGGGGAACTTCTTTTCATATCTTTTTGCATTTGAGATGGGAATAAATAAAACAGGAAGAGGTCAAACTTTTCTCCCTTAAAAAAACCCCCAACCTTTTAACAATGACTAGAGTATTCTGTTTCTCTTTTAAACCTAAAAATCTTCTAAGACAACAAGGGCTTTCTTCAGCCTTTCTTTTCTGAATGTAGCCTGAACGGAAATACTCTGATGCATTCTACAGCTTGATTTTCAGTTTGTTTAAAATCTTCCCTCCTTTCCTGCAAGAACATCATCTCCATTCATTTCCTATGTTGACAAGATTAACCTCAGAACTAAAAATCTGGAAGCACTTTCTGTATGAGTCTTCCTGCTAACTCTGAAATCTAAACTTCAGCATAGAAAAAAACCCCAAAGTCTTCTGCATATGTGGCTTCATTAGGATGAATGTTTTGTTCAAACTGCTAAACGATTATAATAATTTGGCTTTGGAAATACCAGTACCACCCATCAACAAGAAAACACCACAACCCCCCAATCCATTGTTTCTGTAATAAGTAACAGAAATCCACAACTAGATTAAGTAAGATCTAACCCTGCTCTCTGAAGGTGCAAAGAAGTTAATTTTAAAAATTGAGACTAAAAGCACCAAGTCCCGTAACAACAGGCATTATTTATATCCCAGTTATACTCTCCCCTACAGCCCAGCATTCCAGAACAATAGTCTTGCAGGAACATTCTTATTCCCTCATAACTCTTTCTAACATAAGCCAAAAACAATCCTTCAAATCTAGTCATCAGTGAAGTTAACAGCAGCAATCAAGGGGACGATCATAAATATCTTGTAGAGAACAGAAGAACTTGAACTCAATAGAAAATAGTTCAAGAAAGAGGAATGAAGTATACAATACTGGAAGCAAAGAAACTTTTGAAGACAGAAATAAAAATTTGACCATAGTTTGCATATTCCAGAAATATTTTTACTACAGTTCCATACTACCATAAACCAGTGCAAACCATCAATCGTGCTGAAAGGAGCAGCCCACCTTCTTGCCCACTCCATGAGCTCATTCCAGTATCTGCTCTACCCATGTCTACAAGACAAACATTCATGCAACCACACTTGGACATTCAATTTGCTTTTTATCCACAAGAGTGAAGTGATCTTTACCTTTTATTACAGCATCTCTACCTGCTGGAGTTCCATTTTCTTGTGGCGCTACAAGTGTTTTCAGAATTACTTGTGTTGCCCCAAGTCTCGGCAGGGTGACATGTTTAAGAAATGGCAAATTGTTTTTCTTGGCAAATGCCTGGCTTGTTTCTCTCCTCTTCCTAAGAAAGCCACCCTCTGGAAATAAAACAATCCATTTCCGATTACGGCTCCTGTAATATTTTTCTAGATGTTCCTTGAGTAACACAAGCTGGTGGTCACGGTGTGCTCTTCCCTATAAGGATAAAACATTAATTAAATAAAATAAATGCTTAAAAGAGATAACATTAAAACAGATAATTACTACATTTCAATGATTCCTCTCTCTTTTCAGAGATACAAATAAGCCTCTATGACAAGACAAAACAATACTCCCAGAACACCCACTGGTGCCCGAGTTAATGCCACTTTACAGAAAGGCTGAAAAAAAGCCCTTGAAATTGAAGATGAAGCTCCTGATTTGATGACTTCTCTGCAAGAGCAACATCCAGACTGTAAATGGGAACTCCACATAACAGGAGGATATATTTACAGAATTCTCTAGCTGTTACTGGGTCCCAAGTTGAAATTGCTATCTGAATTCTTCAAAAACAATGTAGGGGCCAAGCTATGATTTGGAGGTCCATGTATCATCAGTAATTTCTGCAAGCCAAACAGTATCTTTGCTTACACGTCTTCCATGTGCCTCTCCCCACATCCCATATTAGAATAGCAGAAGTAGCCAAAGACACAGCTAGACCTCAAGACCAAGCTTTACTGCAGTTACCACAGTAGAACAACAGATTTCTCTCAAACCTGTGCTGCTTGAATACTTAGTCTCAACTGAAATCAGCACACTGATAGAAACACTTATGGTTTGAGAGGGAAAAAAAAAAAAAAGTACTGGGGTGTGATGTTTGCAGGTTTTCTTTCTTTAGGAGAAACTGTTGAGTAGGAAGTAATTTTATTTGTGTGAACTTAAAGCCTACAGCAGTAAAATGAGATGTCCTAGCCAACAAGATATTGTATGACACTAGCTTCTAGTTTGGTAATTAGCTGTATAAAGGATATAGCCAGGTGATAATTAAAACTGAAGGACCAAGGGGAGTTAAAAAAACCAAAACCCAACCATCATTCATTCCTCCTTTTTGATGTATTAGCACTTTTTCACTTAAAGACAGTAAGATTTGTCCTTAATTACTGCAGAAGTATCTTCAAGAAAATTTTTCTTTTCCCACTTCCACACACAGCAAGAGCAAGCTACCCAATTTTTCACAGGAATTAATTTACATCCATTATCATTTGAGTGCTCCAAAGTGACTTTGCCAAATCACTCAAAAGACACAGGAGTCCAAAATTTAAGCTTCTCTCAGCAGAGGTGATTTTAATTCTCTGAAATGTCAACAAAACTGCCACAAACCTTCCACTCTTTGGTGTGTTGGTTTTTTTTGTTTTGTTTTGTTTTTTTTTTCCAGGAAGAGGGAAAGAGTGGGGTTGAGTGGAAAACAACAAGAAACAATATTTTACTGAAGACAAGATTTGTGAAAGTGTTTCTCCTACATTTTGAAATCTCACAATTGCAATTACTTCCAACTTACCTCAAGAAAGGGAAGGAAAAAGCTCTGGCTGCTCATATTAATGCAATTAAAGAGCAATATAAAAGTCTCAGTTAGAACAGCCCTTTCCCACAGGACTCCAGAATAGCAAAGTAGTTAAAAAAACCAGAAGTGAACAATAAACTTCTTGAACATTAGTTATTAGAACTCTCCAAAACATAAACAAAACTAATGAATACAACTGGTGGATAAATTGCAGTTTAGCAAATACCATGAGGTTTAAGATGCTGCTGTTATACAGAAAAATCTACTGGACTAATGTGAGAGAGGGGTGTTTAAAAGCAACTGTGACTACTGGAATACTGAAAAGTCCTGAAGATAAAATACAACTAACATACTGTCCAGAAAGAAGAGCAAGTCATACAGAAGCAGCTCCTTATTACAACTGATTCTTAAAGACCATGGCTAGTTGATCACCACCACAGGGAACAGGCTCAGCCTTCTTTCCTTTAGAGGAAAGAAAACAGGTAGCAGCAGGCTGCTGACAAATCATTTAGGATGCTATGCACTTTGTATCACCTATGTGGAAAGTTACTGACAGTCTTGGTTTCCAGTAAATTTTTCAGCAAACACTAGTCAACTTCTAGTAGACCTCAGCAGCATACTGAGCAAAGCTGCCTCTGGTGCTGTTCATGAAAATGAGGCCAATGTACACTTTTAACAAATAGGATGTGTTGTACCATGATCAAATTACATTATTTTACGGGGAAAAAAAAATAATTATTTGCTCATCCAAATATTACTAGGCCTTTCTACAGTTTGGCAGAGGATCATTAGTCATTCACCTTAAGGTTTTTTGGTACACCCAACAGCTAATTAACAGACAGGAAACATTTTATCTTCAATTGGTTTATATTTAGATTCATTATAACATAATTTTATTTGTGATGTTGCATGTCTCAGCCACTTTACAAAAATGAGAAGCCATAGTTTTTGCAGCTCACTAATGATTTGGTTTTGTAACTGAAATTGCAACACCACATTCAGAAATTACAATTAACAAGCTGACAGCCTTATGTACCTCAAAATTTATATCTTGTGAATTTTAACTATTGAAATAGATTTACAAAGTGTCAAGCCTTGTTCCTTTCCATATTGTCACAATACACAGTTGTAGAGACCTTTATTTTATTATCTAAATTTGCCTGAGGTTCTCTAACCATGCCTCTAGTCTTAGTGAGAAATCTCACTTTAGCTGTGTGTAGCTGTGATTAAGTACTTCTTTACTTCATTCTGAGTAAATTAGCTTCCCCTTCTCTGCTAAGTGAAAATTCATTAATTCTCTCTGGCTGCCCATAGATTTTAAGTCCAGATAAAAATAAGGAGAGAAAGAAATGTGTATGCTGGATGTTGCAGTTCCCATAACTGGCAACAGGTTCGCACTTATCATTGTACTTCTAAGTTTCTACTTTTAGAGTAGAGTTTGATCAACAGCTACCAAACCACAAAAATAACCCCAAATTGTTAGAAATAATCTGAGGTTTTCAGTTCTTAACATTTAAGATGCTGAGCTCAACACACATTCTTTCCTGATGCTCAAATAATAATTAACCTTCAAGAATCAATTAATTATTATTTATGCAGCTCCACCACCACCTTAAACCGGTCTACTGACACATCATTATCAAAATGGATGGTCTTGCCTTTCCTTATCTTAAACTCCAACAGCCAGAACAGTGACCTAACCAGACTCATTGCAGAGCTTCAAGGTCACTGAGGAAAGAAGAGAGGCGTCAACAACAGGCAGTCAGAAGTTGCTTGTACACCTCTCATAAAAGGCTCCCATCACAACTGGGTTCCATAAACATTTGTGTCTAGGCAAAATAATAAAATAAGCTTGGAAAAAAAGCAGTTTCGGAACAAAGCTCTACTCAAATACACACATTACAGCATAGCTATTTCATCCTGAAAATCATCCAGGAGGTAATGATTAAGTCCCATAACACCACAATGTTTGAAATATAAGGATAAATTAAAGCACTATTACATGTTTCCATTTACCTGTCTTATAAAGAAGTCCCCATGGATTAGAGACACAATGCCAAAGTTTGTATACTTGAAAATATGATCCATCAGCCACATCATCTGACGGACAACCTGAAAAGTTAAAAAAAAAACCAAAAAAACAAAACAAAAACAACCTGCAGTAAATATCAAATGCAGAGAATTATGTATATACTGGTCACACTCTTGTCACCCTTGCAACCACAGTATAACTAACAAATATGTACAGAATGAAGTTTTTTATGGTCCAAAGTATAAAGCAGCACAGGTGCTACACTTCTCCCCTAAGTGCAGAATTAAACAGCTGCCTTTTTGTAATATACTGTTCTACACTATTAGCCATATGCCAGAGTAATTTTCTACTCTGACTTTTCACACAGGTAGTGTAATGCTTCTTGCTGACATACCACCACAATTTTAAGCCAGTTTCAAACTAAAACTATTTTCAGTGTTTGTTAAAGTATGCAAAACAATACAGACCTGTGTTTGAAATGTCCAACTGTTTCGTGTCTACCACAAAAGCATGTTTCCTCATATCTTTTTGTACTTGGCAATTTGGGGGATGAGATGACATTGGTCTCGTGCACATGCTCCAGACACGTTCACTCTATCTTTGCATAGCAGCATTCACTGAGACCTATGTACAGCCCACATGCCATTACTGATTGCTCTCATGGCAGAGCAGCCACATGCATCCCTGAGAATTTCATTACGTCATGCTTCTTGTCTGGGCCAAGAAACATGGTAAGAAGGCAAAAATAGAGGTTGAGACATTAGATTCACCTTGACCTTCACTTCTTTCAGGACAGTGAAGGCAGATACTATACCTGTTCAGTCCTTTAAGATTTAAAATAGAAGAATTACTCCAGAAGAGGTAAATAACAGAATGGAAAAGCTGCTTCACTCACAAGGTCCTTCCCCTCTACAGCTCCTACATGTAAATACTGAGAGGTGTAGGAATTGGCTCTCCACAGCCGGAAAATCCAGTGTCTCTTACATATTCTCAATCATACACAAAGCTAGCTGCCTTTACTCTTCCCTATAAGGCCACACCACAACTGATTCGAGTTTAGTGAAACAAAGTCATATAACATAGTACTCTTCCATTTATCACTATCAAAAAAGCATATGGAGAACCATGACGTTTCTCTGGCAGTCAGAAGATATTTTTTTGAATCTTAAACAGGCACCTCCTGCTTGGCATCTTTCAGTTGTCCAAGACACATAATTTGAGGCAAAGAGAGAAAGAAAGCAGTCTAAGAAATGAAGATTTCCACTAGAAAATACAATGTTCATGTATTAGTTGATTATATCTACTGCTAAAGTGTACTCTATACTTCACTCCAAACACCAGAGGCCTGCACAGTAACTGAAATATTCAGAATCCACATCCATGCCTTCAAGAATACTAACAAAATAGTTTGATACAGTGAAAGATGGTGGCTTTTACTTGTTTTCACATCTTTATATGTCCATGTGGAATTTGAAGAAAGCAGATCATATTTTGTACAGGAATTCTGTTTTGTAAAAGCAGCTCGATAATTTGCAATTTGCATCTAGAATTGCATGTAACAGTAAGTCTTTCTTCCAAAAAAATCTAATTATCTCTTGGAGTGCTCTGATTACCTATTCTCCCTTTTGACCACAGAAGCTATAAATGAATCCATGAGAAAGATGACTGTCACATACCCTGTTTCTTTTACTTATCCTTAAACAACCGCAGCCGGATGCTCAGCAAAATGAAGTTTTTCCACATTTGCAAGAACATACCTGACAAAGAACGTGTAAAATACTTTATTGCCTATAGACACATAGCTGATCTCCCAACAGAATCTGAATGTCACATTTAGAAGCTAGTTATCCTTGCCTAAGAGTATATTAAGAACACCTCAACTTCTGTGGGTTTTTTTACTACCAGCAAACTTTCTATCTGAACACCTGGGATAATGCAAGACCACTCACTTCTGGACGCTCTAGCATCACTAGAAGTGGAAAAGGAAACCATGTCTGAGAGATGAGGACAGCTCTCAAAGACATGAAAGGTTTTGCTTTGGAAACAAACATCTGTATCTTTTCTGTGACATGCTAGTGTCCTTTCCTGCCTGCCAGTGGTATTTATTACTAGATGCTACACATCCAAAGGAACAAAGACACACTATGTATTTGTGAGTGATAGAAGAAAAATTAGTTCCTAGATATAACTTCTCACTTGAGACTAATATTGGTGAAATGGTTTCTCATACAGCTACCCCTGGGTCTGTGTTAAATAAAAGAGAGGATCTTAAAGCAAAAATTCTTCCCTGCAGAGATTCACATTCTTTCCATTTCAGTAACTCAGAAAGCCTTAGGGAGGGGAAAAGAAAAGAAAGAAAAAGGTGTGCCCTAAGGACAAGAGTTTAAAAAAGTATCACTGAGAGATGTTATTGCTATTCAAGGCATTACAATATCCCAAGTTCATGCCCATGCACGAGCCCAAAGATGACAGTTATAGGGAACCATATCCTTTGATAAAAACACCACCAAAATTCCCCTGATGGTAATTTAGCCTGCAGCAGTACCCATATGACTGTCAGTGTTCACCTACTACTTTTGCATTTTGACAATTACTGTTCTATTGTATCAAGCAGAAGTTAAACCAACATAATCTATTTTACTGAAGAAAATAGCATGCTTAATGATCTGCTTTCCTGAAAAGAAAGGGTTTTTAGAGGACTCAACAGTGGTCCCTAGATGTTTTGTGACAATCCTGGAGGAGCAACTCTTGCCCAGCAATGCTAGTGCTTCTCTCCTCCCATACCAATTTTTACTGTCTTTTTATTTAAATGATGGTGGGTTTATCCCGAAAGTTGGATCATCACTCTTCAGAGTCTGAAGCCCATCTTCACCACGTTTCAGGTAAACTCCAAAGGCAAACTCCAAAGCTCAGCAATTAAAAATCTACCTATAAGCCTAGGCAGTGTCAAAGAATAAATATTTTTATGTATGAATTAATGAATACACACACACTAACACATAAAATCAAAAAGAAGGAGTTCAAAGAACAGGACACAATTATCTTCTTTGCAATCGAAAGTCAAACTAGATTAATGGATATTCATTCTGTTCTGCTACCAAGGACAGAACAGAGGACACTGCAAAATACTGGTGGTGTCTCTTCCATTTAGTATCCTCAGGAATTAAACAATGCTTATCAGATGAGTCTCTTATCACCTGCATTTCAAGGAGGTTTAAGCAAAGACATTCAGAAGTGTTTTGAGCATAGATTCATAGTTGGTTTGGATTGAAAGAATTTTTGGATGCTGTTTCAGGTCCTTCTTGCTTCATCCTTCCTGCTTAAGTAAGTTCAGAATGTAGAAAAAGATTTCACCAATATTTTTCAAAAAAATCTAGGAGCCTCCTATTCACAGACCCACTTTCAATTCACACTACACAGATCTCATAACAAAGCAACCTGAATAGACTGACTTTCATCTTTCAAGCACTTCTAATTTAACAATGAAACCTGGGAATGGATGTCTTGGAACTTGCACTCTAGCAGATGCAAGCTCTACCTTTTTTTTCTTCACTGCACCCTTGCTGGCACTGCTTTCTGCTCTAAAACAGAAAAAACAGCCACATTTATCAGTCCTAATATCCAGTCAGAAAGCAGTAGTAGCAGCATTTTAACCTACTTCTCTTTGTTAAACACATAACCTTTAATGCTTATGAGACCTCAACTAAGTTACTAAATTTAACACTTACTTTCACAATTTGGAACAATTTCTTGAACTATCTAAAAAGTATAATTAGGCCACTTCTGATTCAGCTGAAATCTTGCTTTGTGGAGCTTGCCTTATGGTAACATGTATTAGTCAAACCATACCAGTCCAGTCTTTCCATTAAAATTGTAACTTTTACCTAAGTTCCACTTCCCTAATAAAGGGAAGTTTCACTTTCCTTATACACAAAAGTGAATCTGAAAGACAGGAAACATCTTAATACACGTATTTTATCTTACTGCTTAGTGAGATTAAACTTGCTTAAAACAGATAGGTTGCACTATCATTTATAAAAAAGAATTTATAAAATACTAGAAAAAAAATACCATCACAGTTCCTGACATGGCTCTTAGGAAACATTGTCAAGTTACAAGAACGTTTCAGTATTCTACCTGACTACAGAGAAAAATGTAGAACTTTAAAATCAAACGCTTCTGATGCTTTAAATTAACGTTTTCTAAAAAGCAGCATTAAACAGTAAGTGTTTGCAGAGTACATCTGGCTTCAGTCTGTACTGGCTGGCAAAGCAAGCAAAAGAAATTTTGGACTGCCACAGGAGGAAGGTCTTCCTAGTTCTGCCACTCTATCACCACTGCCACGAGTCTGCCATTGGTAAGCTGTTTTACTTCTTTGTACACCATTCTGTGTGAAATGTAAGCAAGCCTTTCACCTTCACAAAATACTCTGAGATAAAAAGCGTTGTCTGAGTGGTAAAGTGTTTAGGAATGAATGCATCTTAGCCATCCTAAAAAAAAAATAAAAACCATTCTTGGAAATTACTATCTTGTTAGTAACAGATGAATATCAAGGTTGTGAAGGACTCCATCTTAAGTTTAAACTGCATTTAAAGAAAACTGCCTAATTTAAATAGTTGCCTATTGTATACTGATTTCTTTTGGACAGGTAGGATTGGGGTTTTTTTCATCCAGTGGTTTCAGTCACTCAAAGTAAAGACAATTCTCTTCTGTTCAGAAATATGAAGCACGCTATTTAAAAACACCTGATTCAGCAAGTTCTATCAAGGATAATCTATCCTTATCTTTCTCATTATTTTTAGCCCCTTGTACTACTCATGCTATATTTTAAGCATGTGTTGAAGCTTATACTTTTTTATTACTTTATTAGCTAAAACATTAAAGCCATACTAGGGTCTGGACATATATATTCCTAGAGCAATGACTGCAGTTATTTAAGGGAAAATATAGTGATTTTACAGATGTTTTGCTTTCCTGAAAACCTGCAAATCTAACTGTTTCCATGGTGAAGATTATTTGCCATCTCGATGCCTCCCTCCATATTTAACATCTTCGACATTCACTGCAACTTACTCTGTCTTGTCTTTTAGTTATGGAGTCAAACAATAAATATGGCTTAGTTTTAATATATACACTAGTATACATACATGAGTCAATAAAGTGCTATGATATTTAAAACACCTGGGACATCTATATGCAATACATATCCACAGGACTATACCCTCACCATTGTGTCTTCGTCACAAGATTGTCCTATGTATAATTTGGATGAAAGGAAGAGTGTTTACTCTGTCATTCTACTCATTGGGGTACTGTACAGAATACCATACATGTACACCTAATTTTCTCAATTCCAAAAGAAATTAAAGCAATTAATAGTACTTTTGAAATACAGTCTTATCTAGGCAACAGTAGACAGACAGACATTAATCTCTGCTCAATCATGAGTGGCATTTTCATACTTTATGAGTTTGGTTTGAGTTTTTTTTATTTTTCTTTTAACTGACTCTGCTATCATAAGTAAGATCTGAGAAAATTTCTTTTAAAAAATGTTCAACCTATACTAGTATACACTAAGAAGTTATGAGTTATGCAGATGTAACAAAAAGCAGTTGTTTTCCTTGTTTCTTCACTGTAGGGTTGCAAAAGAAGACAACACTAAGACAGACACAGCTAATGCATTTTTTCAGTTTGATAGGTACGTCTCCCGCCCTTTGTAGCCTAATTGTAAATACCTGCTTCCCCCCCGATTTGCACACAGATTTAATTTCCTGTTTAAATTCCATACTCTAGTTTCCAGCATTACACTCTCTAAACATGAGTTTTCTGAATGGCAATACAGGAAACAGTTGATATTAGTTGCATTTCTCACCAAGAAATGTTTAGGAGTTTGTGAAATAAGAGTTCAAGCAATTTTGACCTTAGCTAGCTAGCTTAGTTTGGACACGTCTTCATAGGGAAGTCACTTTCAGTTTCTGAACTCCTACCAAAATCACACACACAACTGGCTTCTAACTTTGAGAAAAATTCCATGATGGAATAAAGTCATAACCAAGGAGCTAGACCTGTGGTTGTTTGAGCAAAATTGGCATGAGTTGCACAAGGGCACGAGGTGAGAGGAGAAAGTCAAGTACATGATTACCTGCAAGATCTGCTTTCCTCTGTTAACCTAGACTATCTCGTATTTGACCTTTTTCAAAGGCAACGTTCAACGTCTAAAACCAGCTTCAAGCTATTGGCTGTCATATTAAACCAAATCTAAACAAAACCCTTCTTATTCATGGCCTTGAGATTATTTGGAGGATTAACACACAAACGGCAGTCATCAGGACCACACACAGATGCAAGCACAGCCAAGGTAACAGGTCGCGTACACAGAAGCTATCCCATTCCCCAGTTGTAGCCTACCGTGCCTTTATCCTGAAGGCACATCATCAGAGTGCAGACGTCACCTGTTGCTTGATGGTTCACCAGCACCATGGCTTCATCTTCTGATACTGCTTTAACATCATCACCCCATTCCACTACTATTAAGAAAAATAAATAAAAAGGTAAATTTTACAATGACCACATGGAAATTTTACTATCAACAAAACAAAAAACCCAAAGACCCCACACCCAGACAATTGTAATAAAGAAACCTATGTGCTACATGTCAATTTAAATTGGCACATAGCATAAGATAGGAATATTAGCAAGACCATTTTTCCAAGCAGAGGGTATCCAGCTTAGTTTTAAATTGCATGCGCAAAGTAAGAACAAAATAAAAATATTCTACCAGAATATACGCACTGAGATTGATCTTTCTGTGTCATTACACCATTCTATATTTAGGGTCTCAAAATTACATAAGCTTTTGACCCAGCTTTCAAATTCAACTGTCTCACATCATTAGATTTAAAAAAACCTAAAAACCAAAAAAACCAAACCACAAAAAAACCCCACATTGTCAAAAATGGTTTTTTGTTGTTGTTCTTTTTAAACTTAGCAGGATTGCTTCATTTCTACACTTACTGTTATTAAATCAATCCGGTAAAAGCAAACAAAAAAATCTGTAGTTGGATCATTAGGTTTAGAATGCTACATTAAACGAATTTAGTAATTCAAATGTAAACATGTTAGCTATAGGCAAGAAAGCGGGTTCAGAAAATGCTGCTCAGATGACAGAAACTATTAGTCACTATTTTGTATGCCAGAAACCAGATACTCCAGTGGCAAGAATGATGTCAGGAGGAAGCTACAGCTGTTATCATCCAACATTTACACTGACTACAAAACATATGCTGAGGTAAGAAAAAGCAGTTAAAATTGATAGTTCCATCATCACAAAGTAACTAAATGGAGAAAGAGAAGACTACCTCCCAAAGAAGAACACAGGATGGAAAACCAGAAAAAGTCTGTCGCAAATTAAAGAGCAGACTACGTCTAATGCTGTTACTGGGGCAAAGAGACAAGTGAGTAGAGTCTGGCCCTCCTCAGTCAAAAGGGATGATCACTGCAATGCAAGGGAAAGGGAAAGTATGAGAAAGCAGAGTAGCTCTCTGAAGTTCAAAAGGAAAAGATGCATTGGCCATGCATATAGGATATGATTATTTTCTGTGTTTGTTCAGTATCCTAAGTGTTTCTTACTAGCTATTATTTTCATTTCTGACATCAAAGGAAATCTTTCACCTCTACTACTGAATCTTTAGTACTGTTATTAACAGGTCACCAGGCAGTGAACAACTCTCATCACAGGACAATTAATTACTTTACTACTATCTGTCTTTTAAACAGTGGTTTAATGATGCAAAAGCAACAGGCTACAGGCTGAAGACAAGAAGCATCCATGCACAGCTTCCCTGTCCTTTCAGAAATATAATTAGCATCACACCTTTGAAAACTGCCACTTCTATTACTTTCTAACGGCTCCCAAATTAGTACTGGATTGAGACTTGAACACAAAAAATAAAAAATGTTGCATTTGGTTACAAGTAGATAGAAACAGATTAGAGATTTGAAGGTGGGGAGGACTACTCATTCCATAATGTTCAACCTCCTTTCCTTTCCCTGTGCAACCTAAGCTTGGATCCCCCCTTCTTATTTTTCTCAACATGAACTTGGAAGCTCCCCTTTATCCCTCCTCCCTAATTATGTGCAAATTCCCTCCAATCTCCTCTTAAACTTCATGGAAGTTGGAAAGCGCCTAGCAATCATAACTGACAGTGCACTTTCTTATCAAGTATTTCACCTATGGCAGTACCCCATAAGGCAAGAAACCAAGATGAGACAAGAATTGTTTTAAAGGGAAATGAATCTACCACATACTGATTTTGGAATTATTACTTTGGTGTCTTTATTAAGCAACCAATATACAATAGTCTTACTGATGTGTGGCTTTCCAAATGTAATAAAAACTAAGTAATAAATACATTAAGCATCTGCTAAATAAGGTTTCTCCTAAGTAGCTAATTATTTCCAAATAAAATTATTTCTAGATCACTCAGAGCAAAAAAGGGATTACTTTACTATAGATACTTCCATGGAACTTATCAATTTATTCTACTAATCCTTTCTACTGCAGAGCAGTTGAAAAAGAAACTATTTTTTATCTTCAAAAAGGTTTCACAGATCTAACTTTCTGAAGTATTAAAGTTAATGAGTGAAAAATGTAAGACATGAGAATTAGCATGGAATTGAAAACAACTAAAGAGAAGAACTTATGAAGCTTCATTTGCTAGGAAAAAGTACATCTTTAGCATACTAGGTGAAGACTAATGTCTGACTTTGAAACTTTCAGATAGGCCCCAGTCAAAGAAAAACAGGAAAAAAAGCTTCTGCTATTTCCTAGAGTGTTTTACCTACTCCTGTTAAATACAATAGATGGTAAAAACACACAATCAGCTTACAATGCACTTACAAGTTTCAGCTGAGAAGTAGTAAAAAAGTGGGCTCCGTTATCCCACCCCAAATGCAAGGTTAAAAAAAAAAAATCATTTAATGCTTTAACTGATTTATTCAATTCATTTTATCTATCAACTGGTCAGGCTAATAGCTCAACTTCTGTGGCTCTGCTGACAGGTAGAAAGTTATTAAATCACAGTGATTCAGCTGGACATCCTATAGTCTCTTTTCCCTCTGTCATTTCTCCTCAGGCAATCAGGCTGTCTCTTGTGCTTAATAACGCCTTATAGTCAACTGGTTGACCTGATTATCAAGGAGAAAAGAATCAGTTTGTTCAAGTACTTCACAGAGCTTTTCTAGATCAGAAACAGAACAGCAAATCACAGAAGTGTGCAGAAAAACCACTGCCATTACCACATTTTTTTTTTTAAGAAAAAAACCTCTCCTATCTAGAATTCAGTGGGGGGAATATATGCTTGTCTTCAATTCTCTCACCAGGCTGAAATTTTCAAAAGGAGCACCTTTTGCTTTAAGAAATACTTGTGTTATTACATTCCTCCACTGCAGTTGGAAACATTCAAATCAAAACCTCAGCAGCAGAACCAGGAACACTGTTTTGATCCACTGTAACTAGACAAAAAAAACAGTTCAAAGACAAATATTTGTCACTCAAGGGCCTGAAAACCAGCAAACATTCCTTCACAGCTTCCTTCTATTGCCAGGGCACATCTTATAAAGATAGCAGTTCTGTCTAGAGCCTCGCAATAGTTAGATTACTGCAAATGCAGTTTAACATAGTGAAATAACATAAAGGAAGAATAGAGCAGATCAGTTTAACATGGTAATTTGAAATCATGGTAAACTCAGTACCAAGAAAACCTGGTAATCCTGATTAGTAATAACATCTCTTACCCACAAGATTGAGATACAAGAGTGGCTTAGCTGTAAGAGAGACTTCCATTGTGACTTAGTGTTGTAAGCAAAAGGCTTCTCCAGTAAATGATGAAGACAAGTTTCCTTGCAAAGGCATATGCCACAGGACAAAAATATTTATTCTACTCTTGTAACAAGAAGTTCAAGATGTACGCAAGTCTCTAAAACATCAAGAAAATATTTCATATTATGAGCTGCAAACTAAGCTTTTAATGGGCTAATCTTTGCAGAGCTTAAAGAAGAAAATAAAAGCAAGAAGAGCTTTTCCCACGTTTTTACTGAACTATTGCACATCTAAATGTAGCAATTGAGAGTTCTCAGAACACTTGGCTGCTTTGTAATCATGTCCTTAACATAACTGTGTGCATGTAAGCAATGCTATGAATAAATATTCAAGCACTTCAACAGCAGTTTGTCAGTAAGGCTGGGCAAATGAATACTCAGCTAACAACTGAGTAGATCTATTTTACACTTTTTAATATACCTGGCAAGAATGACAGTGTAGTATTCTGCACAACTGCCCCGCAATTATTATGAACTACTTAATTTTGCATATTGCATTTTAAAACTTTAAAAATGTTCTGAAATTTTTGACCATTTCTTCTTGGTTACAGTTAATTGCTCCACTACAGTGTGTGCTGTAAGAATTAGCATAAATTTTATTGGCATCTGAACAACTTAAATTCTGATGAGTACCTGGGGTTATTTCAAAATGTATTGAGTTTTAGCTTATTATTTCCCCACTGAATTGGAAAGAAAAAAAAAACCCCAAACCAAACAAGGTGCTTCCTGCCAGAAATTTCAACAGCAATTAGGAAATGGGCAGTGAAGGAACCAGATGCAATTCTCATACTAGCATCACCCAAATCTAAAAGCTACCAATATTAATCCCACAAATAAACATGAAAAGACATGCTTGATGGCAAGGTCAGTTATTATATATGTAATCATATAATTGTTTTGGATATCCACTTTATTTGCCATTTAGATTTCAGTCTACACACAATGTTCAGTTTTCTCTAGAAATTAGAGAACTTTTACTCCAGAACTTCCCACCCCTTAGTTTATTTTTCTGATCACTTGTAAACATTTGCATCCATGAGGCAAGACTTCAAGAAAACCTGTTCCAAGAACTTGCAGGTTGTCAACACTCAGAACTGAACAGTACCACTTTTTTTCAATCATTTGGAAATCTTCAGTAAAAAATAAATGGCATTATTAATGGACAGCTTCCTTTGCTTCCTCAAAAGCCACCCTGCTTTCTAACAGAAGGAACATTATTAGGTATTCAACGGTGACTGTAACTCATGACAACCAGGTTTCTACGTTAAAACACTCCTCATACTCAAGCATTTGTGTCTGGCAAGTTGCAACCCTGCTTTACTGTTATTCATAAATGACTCGCCAAAGCATGTTTTAGTTAGAGTAGCTCTATACAGTTGTTAAATTTATTTGTGTCTCCATTATAGATGGGATTCTTTGATAGCTGGCATTAAGAAATCCCAGAAGTGATGCCAAAGGTTAAATATTACTTAGCATGCTTAGATCGCCATAAAAAGATTAAGACATGCTAAAAGTTTTTTTTTTTTTTTCCACTTAACAGAAAGGTTAAAGCATTTGTCTCTGAGTTGGTTGCCTACAGTTAAAAAACCAAAAACAAACAGTGGACTAAGCAAATTAGCATAGTGAGGTTTTTTACATTTATTAAACA